ATATTTTAATTAGAAATCATAAAAAATTGTTTTGTGGTTGGTTGTTTCATAAATCATTATTTTCATCCTGAGATTATGATTTCCCAAAAAATGTTCCATTAGTTCAAATCATTCATAAAAGATATAATGATGACATTTTGATAAATTCAGAACTTTCAACAAGTTTTTCAAGTTTTCCAATAATATCTTATAAAGGTCAGTATTTGCAGTTAACTTCACATAGCAAAGTCTTAACATCCATATCAAAGCCAATCTTTCCATTCACTGGTAGATTAATAATTGTGTTTGTTATTATAACTGATTCAATCATGTTATAGAACAGTAATGATTGACTTCATGAGAAATCCTATATATGTATACAAATACACACATATTTATTTAGATACATACATTGCCATATACAGTTAACTCCATTACACATTGTCATGTACATTAATAGCTTTCAACAGATTAACCAAAGCTCCAAATGAAAGTGCTTTGTAACCATCTTGGACTTTTCAAAGCTACTGTCAATAGTTATTGTTTAGTATAGTGCTGGCACATGAAGTCATCAAACTCGTTTGTTTTTTCTTTCAGGTTTCGTGAAATAAATTACAATTCTTGTAAGTTTGGATGACTTACTCATGCTATTAATATATGTATATCAATATACACTTAAAACAAATACAACTCACACTGCATGTGGAGAAGTTACACACCCTTTAGGTGTACCAGCAACAAAAATTATGGTATTCTTCATGAGCTCTTGCTACTCTGCTAAACTACGAAGGTGATTCTCACAAAATACCTCTGAAGTTTAGCCCTGGAAAGGAATGCAAAGCCTATTTGACTGTCGATTTGAACTCTAATCCATCATCTTAAATTACATGTACTGGCAAAAGCCTTCTTAATCTGTGTAAATTGAGCAGGTATCATCCAATATCCTAAGAATATCTATTATAGTGGAACTGTTCTCCATAGCTCAGAAAGTAAGGGTTGCAAAGGTGTTTTAGTTCTGTTAATTTTCTCTTTATGGGTAGGTCAAAGTGTGTATGTCATAACGTTTTAAAGAGTTATATTCAAAATTTAATTAAACTACTTTATTATCAATGTATATGAATAAACTTGACACCTAAACATAGTTAAGAAATCAAATTTTAATATTATACAAGTTTTAAGTTCTTCATTTTATAAGGAAATATTTAAATAAATCTTCAAACTTCCCTAGTATGAGAATCATGACATTTGTTATCTTGGTCTTCTCCTTTCTCTAATGTATTTACCACCCCTCTCTGAAGTACAGAATTTAATATAACTTCATATTAGTATTACTATGGCAAATTCTAATTGTTATAAACTTCAATTCAATCTCCTTTGTTCACAAAGTTAAAAAACTAGAAAATCAGAACCACTTGCCATGCTCCCCTGTTACATTCTCTTTTTCACAAATTGACAATAATTCTCTTTGATGGTTTATATTATATCATTTATAACCAATAGAAAGGCAAGATTTGCATCTATCAAATGGCATACAATACTGTATTGTTTTCAGTACAGAGTATTTTTAATTATCTTCAGTTTGAAAGTTTATCTTGAGGTGCTCAGATTGAGCAGTTAAAGTAATTATTTTAAGATCCTCTTATCTTAGATAGAAAGCCAGTTAAATTATAATAGTTAAGAACATTATTTACTTTCTGCTTGTTATTATTCTGTGCTTTTAAGTCATTATTTATGTATGTAAAAACTACTTAGTGTACTAGTACCATCGTTATAGAAAAGTCAGCTTAAATTTCATCTGCAGAACAAAACAGAGATCAAAGGTAAATACTATATTTTTTGCTCTTCATGTATGTTTATTATTTATTGTTATAAAATTAAAAACATGAGAGATAAAAAAGTTTTACTGAGAAAAAAACGTTTGATATTTATTTAAGAGATTTTAAGGATTATGCAAATGAAATTTGAAAGTTTTCAGATGAAGAAAATTATTTTTAATCTTAAAATGAAAATCACTTTGCACTTACAGCAGTCAACACTCTGACTCCATATAATTACAAAGTTTTAGCAAAATTACTCAATAAAAATTCTGATTTTTTTACTACAAAAGATTTTAAATGTTTACTAAAAGCTTGCAAAATTTTGTGAAGATAAATTAAGCACTTTCAGAATTATATGTATACTACATGGTGGTTATAAGGTTGTGTAATATATATGAGCCTATTGCAAAAGTGTTAACCTCTTAAACACAGGTACCCCTTTAAACACCTTTCTGTACAAGTTATTGAGTAACATTAAAAGTTTAATTAAACAACCTTACTATCAATGTATGTCAATGAAATTAAAATTATAATGTATGTTATAATTTGAAGTTATGTTATCTAAGTTTTGATTCCTTTATTTCAAAAGAAACCTTAAAAAATACTTAAACCTCAGTTTTGTTGTCATGTGACCCAAGAGCTTTGAAAAATCTTAGCTTTCACAATCTCTAACTTGAACCAGCAACTTCAGTGTGTGTAGATGTAAGTGTAGACAAAAACTACATTTACTGCAATATTTACACGTATGTTCCAAAGTTCTTTGGCTGATTTCAGTTGAAACAAGATACATTTTTTACAACCCCTGACTTGTGTCACTTCTATACTTTGACTTCAGTTTTACAAGCCACGTATACTTATTTGATACATGTGTTTAAATCATTAGAAATAGCTCATTTTACACTATACAATAGTTATTTTAAGATTGGTGCTCAGTTTTTGTCATTGGTTAGATGTAACTGCCAGTAGTATTGTTGGCTGCTTTATCCAAGATAGCACTTATGGTTGTTTCTTACCTCAATAAGTTATAGTTAGAGAGACAGTTAAATTGTAGGTTTTACTTTTATATTTTAGTTAACTATGTATTATTTACATTGTAACCCTATAATGATCATACTTAAATTCCTTTCTGTGCATGTTACTGTGTTACATTCAAAATTTAATTAAACCTCTTTAATATCAATGTATTTTAATGTAATTATTATTATCAAGTACATTATAATTCAAAGTTTTATATTATTTAAGTTAATACAATAATTTAAACGTGTGCTTTATATTTCAAGTAAAGTGTTTGCAGTTACAAGCATCAACTTTAAGAGCTGGTATAGAAGAAATTCTATATGTAAATGTAGACGTTCTCCCCTAGACGTTTAAAAAAAAAGCAGTGTATACAGGTTGTTTACAAGTAAGTTGAGAACATTATATAATGGTTTTAAAATTTCTCATTTCAAGATAAGCCACGCCCACTTGCAAAGTAGGAGCTGTATCGCTAAGTGACAGTTTGAAGTTGAGTGCCAGGCTTATAGCTAATAAAAAAAACACCAATTATACATTGTATTTTTCCTAATGAGGTTAGGAAAATTAATTGATTTTTGCTTTTACAGAGGGATTCCAAAAAAAAGCTTAGTGCATTGTTAAGAATGGCATTCCTAGCACTTGGATATTTTGTCTTGCCTTATACATAATAGTTTGATAGACAGTTAAATTGCATTTTGGTTTTACTTTTATATTTTAGTTAATTATGTATTATTTGTATTTTAAAATTAATATTTGAAAGTTTTAATGATTATTTCAGCTTTCCTATTCGTTACTTCGCTGGTCACGCATTATAAAAAGAGGCGAGAGCAAACATCATAGCATAGGCTAAAGAAGACTCTCTACCAATCATAATGTTATAGTGCCTGTGGGGACCCGTTGAAGTATGTAGACATAAGTATTAAAAGATAAAGAACTGGAATGGAAAATAAAGTATTTAAAATAAAAAAGTAGTGAAAAGGTAACGACTTGAAATTAAGCATATGACCCAAAGAAGATATTTTAATATCATTCAATGAAGGGATAAGAAGCAAGTACATATTTCCATTTCTTAATTTTAAACATTTACCTAAAAAAACTTGTGATATTCATTTAGCAGGTTCTAGCAATTATGTAAGTGAAATGTGAAAACTAAGATAATAAACAGTGTTTTTATACACAACATGAAAATAACCTTGCAGGTGATGTATTCAGAGTCTGAGTGCAAATGAAATTACTAAGTTAAATAAGGAATTGTTATTAGAAATAGTAGAAAACAAATTCAAATAATTTCATCCATAGTTTTATTTTTGGAATGAAATATGATGAGAAAGATGTTACCTAATTACAACGTAAGCATCGGAACATCATCAGGTTAAAATGCATAATTGAAAGGTTTAAACTATTTTTAAAAGTATTTCAAACTTTGTCTCACTTATTAAGGCTTACAATCTTGCAATAGTGCAAAATATTTTTGTCTCTGCAAAAGATATTATAATACACCTCAAGGGATCATCGTTGGCTTCTGTCGTGATGAATAACAAACGATTAAGGATTAAAAATTAAGTATATGTGAAAAGGAAGAGACCTGAAATTATGAATATAACCAAAAGAAGACCTTTTAGGATATTCTATGAAAACTTGAAATGTGTTTACATTTTTCTATTTTTTAATTTTAAACATTTCATTGCACTGTATTTTGATGGTAATATCTACAGTTAGTGATATGGCAGAGAAAATGAAAAATAAAATATAAACATTTACTCTAGGTTCTAGAGGTTATGTAAATAAAACTCAGAAACTGTAAGATGAAGAAAAGTATTTTTATACTTAAAATAAAAATCACCTTGCACTTGAACTATTCAGAGTTTGAGTGCAAATAACTACAATAAATAAATATATTTTTAGTAGAAAGATTTAATAAAAATAATGTCATTCTTTGTGTATAAGATACTTATAATCTTTAACAAAATCTTACCAGTTTTTGTGAGAATATGTTAAGAAAGCTCAGTTACGATATGTATTGTTGCACAAATATCCTTCCTCAGTTAGGCACCTGCAAGTTGCAGGAGACTGTTGCAAAAGGGTTAATGAATAAAATCACACATAATATAAAAACTACAATATATCATATATATATATATAAATGTGTACCAAATATACACCATAGAAATTAATTGTATCAATTCTTACTTTCAGCCTTATGCTGAGACTGAGACTGTCGGTTCTCCAAGAGTATTATCTTCTCTTTCAAAATAAAATTTTCTTCCATAGCTTGTTTAGCATCTTCTAACTCTTTTTCACTACAAAAAAATTAAAAGTTAAGTAAAAGAAAATATAATTTTTATATCACTAAGAAGCTAGGAGAAATGTCAAAAAAATAACTGCATCCAACTCTTTATCACTATAGAGTAATGTATATATATAGTTAAAGAAACATTGTTTCTTCTAACTCTTTAAAAAGGTTAATGAAAAGTAGCTTCTCCCATCTTAATCATTGTATGTGTGTGCATGTGTCTATATATAAATATATATAAGGTTAAGAAAACACTGGTTTCTATAAATCTTTAAGCAGGTAAAGGTCATTCTAACTCCTTAGGAAGTTTAAGGAAAAGTAGGTTACTTTATCCCTTCATCACTAAAAAGTAATGAGGCATTTAGAGCTTGAAGTTCCAATATATATCAATATTACTGAAAAGATGTTCCCTTAAAAGTCTGAACTCACAGAATAAAAGCATACTTTGAAACACTTGTAATTTATGTTGATGCTCAGGTGCAACAATTGCAGTAATAGTGTTTGTACAACATGATTATAATTTCGTAAAAAACTAGGGCTTTTGCCAAGAAAATGTAGATATGTAAATAGTTTTACAGTATTACAACTGCACAAGTAAACAAATCCCAGTATCAAACAACAACATAAATACCAACTAGAATTTTTTTAGCTTTTTGCTATATATAATGTTTTAATAATGTAACTGAATGTGTTGACTAACCAGTTTTGTAACCATGACCACCGGCTTTCAAATATCTCGAGATTGTTGTGAAGTTCTCTGTTTTCAGTTACACATCTTTTTACTTCTTGCCGTAGTTCAACAAGAGTTTCCTATGTTCAAGAGGATAAGTATTTAAAAATAAACTGAAAACAATAATACAATGATTATTTTTTTATATTTAACATAAAATGCTAGATAACCATAATTTTAAGTGTTTTGGGATTTTTCCCCCTAGAATATTGATCACACAAGCATGCATCTGAAATGTTAGGTTATTAATTTCTATCTATTGATTGTTGATTGTATTCTTCACAGGCTTTCCATCAATCAATTGAAGAAATATAGAAAGTTGACTAAAGAAAATAAAGGTCTGTTCATTTTGTTGGATTTTGCACAAAGCTACATGAGGGTTATCTACACTACCTGTCGTATATTTTGAAGTGATAGATTGTTAGATTGAACAGTGGAATTTGAATGTCACTCTTACTATGTATCCACCCACAGTCAAAAATGCAAAAATACAATTGTTGTTTTTCATGGCAGTAATAGTACACAAACCACAGAAACTTAGCTACACAGTTCAAGACATTAAACAACGAAATGTGCTCAGCCCAAAAAATGAAGGTTTTTTTAAACAGTGGTTTATTTTACAGAGCCAATTTTTTTGTTCATTTATATAAATTTCTCATACTTTCAATTTTTGTTTAAGCCATCACCTTTTGCAACTCCTATTTAGCAAATACTTAAATATATTTTAAAGATATAGAATTTAGGGTATAAATAGATTAATGTAATCAAAGCTGTGATTTTCAAGTATAGTGAATATCATATCAAGGGTCTACTTACTTGTTTTCTTACAACTTTTAAGATCATAAATACATCATGAATGAAAAAACAACAATAAATATTGAGAAGGTATGAAAAAACACAAAAAAGCCTATAAATATCACTATTTCTTTCTCCTCTTTCCCAACAGGGTAGACTGACAGCATACTGGCAACTCATCTAATGCAGATCTGCCATTATCAGGCATTGCTTGCACAACTATTACTGCCAATGTCAAACACTTGAGTGACTTCATATTTTTTTCACTGGCTTTATTAATCCGGATTTCTGACATTTGTACTTTCTCAACTGAATTTTTTTCATCTTCTATAGGTTTCCTTCTGTATTTTTGCACAGATGCTTCCTTCCCATAAACCTGGCTCTGGGTATGAACTTAAAGTATTCTTAAAGCATGTTCCAGAGAGAATTTGCACTGTACTTGAGCATCCTTAACACATTTAAGCCATTGTTTTATTGAAATATTTTCTGATTTGTTACTTTATAGATTCAGAATGTTCTTGATAAGTTGATCTGAAACTGTTTATTCAGCCAGTGGTGCTCTCCCTTTTCAACAAGTTTTCTAAAACAATTATGATTTCTCAATGTATCATGGGTCCTTCTGTTGGAAACAACTACTGAAATCTTTCACAATTGAATCATAGTAGTACAAACAGATCAAAATTCATTAATGCTCAGTGAAAATTCCTCCTAAAAATCTCTTCAGGCATGTAAACCTTGAAAACAATTAAACCAAGCAGAACACAAAATTAATGCATGTCAAGTACCAGATGCTTCAAAAATTCCATCAGACCAGTGAAAATGTGTCCAATTGGCATTAAAAAAATCATACAAGATAAAACAACACTGTAGTTTCTGTCCAGTAGAAAGGGATGTGTGTTCAAAAAGTAAATCAAGATTTTATACTTTTGTATTATGAATTTAGGACTTGCTTAACTTTAAGATCATTTGGTTAGGTTTTAGCATTGTCTGACCAGATTTTAATCCATGCTGGGAATATATTAACTTAATGCAATTTAAAGGCCAATGCTATGTTGCCTACTTCAGCTGATGTTAGTTATTAAAGTCACATGGAAGCTACACATATTCGAATAGCATATCTTGCTTATTAGTATATCAGTATTTTACGCATGATGCTAAATCTCTTTGTGCATATATATATTTATTATCATCATTTTTATGCCTTATACTAAATCTAGATCTAGATTAAGATGAGTAGCATTAAACCAATGGTATTCTAATACCAATAAGAAGGCCTAAATATAGATCTTGGAAATACTGATCAAGACTTGAAAGATGGAAATCTAGGATTTATAATGCTTTATGTTTATTATTAATGCTAGTAGATTTAGGCCTAGAAGTTGATGACATGTCCACATAAGCACTGCTTTCATATTTACACTCTTCATTTACAAATTTCATTGTCACTTCCCTTCCTTTTTTTTACAATTAAAGCATTTCTGTAAATTTCCATCAGTTTAATTTAGCCATTGTAATGAGAACTTAGCTTTCTGCTCAGGTGTTTTTTGTATTCATAAAGTATACTCACTTTTCATATTAAAATACATTGTTAGTAGATCTTCACAAAAAATTAAGATATTAATTTGATAAGTTGTAATTAATATAGACTTCTCTGTATGCTGAGTGTATACATGTCTTTATTCAAAAACGTTGCATTTATTATTCATAAAATATGGTAACATGATAAATATATAGCAAATGTAGGACACCTCCAATTACATAAAGTTAAATAGGAGAAAGAAAAAATGTATGAGAAATACAAGAAGAGTGGAAGACCTTATTGTATTTTTACTATATAAAACACAAAGACTGTTGCTATGTGATTTTTACTGACCTCATTTTCTTGTATCACTTTTTCTCTCTCCTCCAACTGAGTGTCATATGCCAATAACAATGGAGACAGCTGTTTCATGTCAGTCTGAAACAGAAATAATTTATGTTGATTACATATCAGTGTTTTCAATGACTTAGGCCACTGGGAGGCAGTCGTTTACACTCTTCAATAGTTTTCCTCACCTAAGAAATGGGAAAACTGTGACAATGTCATAGCTATGAAAACAGTACTTTTATACTGTATGCTTACAGAAAAATATTATTTATGAAACATATAAGCTTAGACAATTGACTTATCTAAGTCTCTAAAACAATATTAGAGGATCATTATTATTTCAATCTCAGTTTAGCTTGAAAGAAAAATAATGGTTAGCAACTTTTACAGTGACAGAAATTTTTTTGTGTAAATGTTGTAGATATTATATATGTGCAAATATATTTGATATTAAACTTGAACAAGTTTTTTATTGAAAAAATATGTTATCTTTACCAAATATAAAAACAAACATGGATTTTAACATTATCAAACGTATATTTCTCACTTTCTATTAAATGTAGTATTCTAACACTTTTGAGTAAATTTTTTCAAAGTTTACTTTGCAACTGTAAAAAAAATACATTTTTCTCAAGCTTACTGGCCTACAGACAAAATATCATAAATATTCTGCTAGCCATACATAGCAACTTTATGTTTACCATTTTTCTTTTTTAAAACAAAAATAAGTCACAATAATAATGCTAAAACCAATTAAAAAGAATACATTAAGAATAATGTTAGTAAAACAAGGATCATCATGAAGATAAAGAAAATCAAATGTAATGAGAAACAAATATATTTTAAAAACACTCATGTAGTCATCTCATAATCATTATATCCTACTTTCAATTACATTCTGTACTAAAACTCAAACACTCCACAGCTTCTCTCATGTGAACACATGGACCCAGGTGACCTACTTGTCATAATCTGATGCATTTGTACTCTAAGCCACTTCATACTTCCATGAAAAAAGAAACCCAATAACTCAAGCACTTTCAGAAAATTAGACTTGATTGGATGAATGCTGTTAAAAAGTAAAAGAGTAGGACAAGAGAAAGATAAGCACGAGGTAGAAGAAAATACAGAAGTGAATAGGAATGGGATGCTACACTTGATAATCAACTATTCATCAATAAAAATACTGACACATGACATCCTACTTTGCAAAATGAATCTAAAAAACATTTGAAGATGTATAATTAGTTTTCAAAAGTTCTATATGTTTCTAAGGGTCAGTATGGAAAAGTTTAAAGTGAGAAGGAATAGGAAAAGCATACTGTTGTACATATGTATATATTAGTAGTATACAAAGGCTTAGAATTGATGGAACACACATTTATCTCATGGCTTCAACAACAATAGGCTTGTGGAATTAGTACATGGAAGGGCAAATGATTTGTTTCCAAATGAATGAGAGTCAAAATGTGGTGTGAATATGAACAAAAACAAACCATTTTCAAAGACAGAAAGTTATTTCACAAATCACATTTTCTCCACAGCTGAACAATAAAAAATTGAGTCAGTAGAGTCTGATGACATCTTCGCCTTAGGGTGGAATAACACTAACATCTAAAATAGCAGACAATACCTTTGATTGGTTGATGCTATAGAGAGTAACACTTAGATCTGAATTAGAATACGACTTAGTCTGGTTTTAAACTCTAAAAAAGTTATAATTTTCAGAAACTGAAAATTTATTTCTGATGGGTACTTCCCTCTTCTCACAAGATTAGCTATTCTCATCCAATGCTGTCCTCTATATGTGAACTTTTTTTTTACACATGCCTCAAGCCTTCTGCTCCCCCCTATTGGAATTATTCCAACTTGTCTCTCATGCAAATCATCATGCATCATTTCTCCACCAATAGTAGCATGACATATGTGATGCACGTGACTCCCTCTTTACGCCTCTATTGATCTATCACTTTGAAGTTTGGCAGAAGACTTAAGCACTAGAGGAAAGTGGGGAGGAAGGGTGGGAAGTGTGAGAATAGGGAAGTACCTATCAGAAATATATTTTCAGTATAAGAAAATTATAGCTTTCGATGTGGTACTTCCTTCCACTCACAAAATTACCTAGAATCCCATAATGATTATGTGGAGGGACTTGTGCGAGGGAATGACAGAAGTACCCCCAAAAGCATCCAAAGAATACCCCTGGAAATAAGAGAGTCAGAACTGAAAATCTGATGATGGGAGAGAACTGAGGCAAGATAGTGATCCTAACCATGAAATATACTGTAACTCAATCACACCATGTATGAAAATACAGGAGAAGTGAAACGGTAGAGGTAGGATGAGGACTTTTAATCCTTAGTGATTGTATATTGCATAGTGGAAGATACAACATCATCTACACCTGCAGAACAACACTGTCCTACACTGCACTGAATGGTTATAGCCATCTTTGTGTGGAACCCATTTAGGAGGGTCCATGGTCGACCACACCAATAGCTTGGAATTGGAAAGTTGTAAGGACTCCCATACCCCACTAGAGTGAAGGGGTGAGAACACATTGGAGAGTCCAGAGGAATGTCATCACCTGAGACAGTGCAATGGATGACCACGAAACCCTACTTTGAAAAGCAGACCATACTGATTTATTCATTACTAGGCATGGCAGGGATGAGCAGCTATTCCCTTCTGCTTTACCCATGCAGTCCATGGGTGGCGGTCTGGAATGGGCAAGTTTATCAAGCAATTACATTGCAAGGTTCTTCACCTTCAAGCAATCTTGTGGAACACCCCATCTCAACAGTGAACATTGTGAAGCCATGGAAGTTAAATTATGAGAGTCAACATGGCTGTACAGTGTGGATTTCTGATTGAAGGCACTGCTCACCACAGAGCAGGATCCCTATAAAGAATAAATGAAGCAAGTGTCCCTGAAATGAAAAGAATACATGAATATAGACTTACCCAGTCAAAGTCACACCGAAGATTGAAGTACTGCCATAGATAGCAGACGAAAACACAACAAAGAAAAAACTCCAATATGCTGTAAATAATGGGAGATGAACATATTAGGTGTAGTCCACATATCCAATTGTAGGATTTCCTCCAATGGCCGATGAAGATGAGATGTGAGGGAAAAGGTGAGGTGTTGAATCTGATGAGAAGACACTCTGAACAAATTCCGTTGGGAAGATGACAAGGAGGAATAAGCCAATTGAATTGATGAGGGTAGAAGGGGATATATCATGAAAAGAGGAAGACTGCCAAAAGATAAAGAGTCAGGAATGGGTACAATGGAAGGAAGCTGTGCAGACAATAAGCAATTAAGGATATGGACTGGACATAGAAGTCTATCAAAATTGGAAAGAGGGTAGAGATGAGAAATAGAAGGAAGGGAAGTAAGTGAAAAGGAGGAATTACCCTCTCTAGCTGTCTAGGTCTTTGGGAGAAAGGAATGATCTAGATAAAGGAGAAGATAGGTGTGGTGGTAAAGGAAAAAAAGGTAAAAACATGACACAAAGTGAATTCCTCACTCTTTAGGTAAGAACATAATATCCACAAGCACACACCTAGATTAGGCTGAACATACACACACACACACCTAAATTAGGTTGAACACACACTCCTTGACTACGAGAAACACACACAAACCTAGACTGCTATGAACATTCACACACCTGAACTAGGCTAAACACACACATCTAGACTAAGATAAACAACTTCAAAAGATCAGTGACAACACAAACTCAGAATAAATTTAAACCAGAGTTTAAAGCTGAAAATGTACATTTACATAGAATACACAGTTTAAAACTTAAGAGGGCAAAATTAATTTAAAAAACACAAAAGGTATTGAATGATTTAATTCATGTAGCACAAAATAATAATACAGATGTACATTAAAAAATAAATTTTAATTCTAAAAATATAATTGTTGGAATTCTGCTGACAGCCTCTGTAGTTTTGAAGTTAAGGTACATTATATAGTAGTATATAATCAGTAATATTAAGAACAATATGGTATATCGTGCAGATGGATATGGTACTAAAACTACCAGAATTCATGTGCACATGTGAAATGGGTTTTTAAACATTTCAATTTTGATACAGGTCATTTGAAATTTGATATACAAGCCATACAGGGTAATAGTTAAGGGGACTCGATAACATATTTAAAGATATAATTAATAACAAACTAAATCTATACATTTAAAACATAACTTGTCAAGTCTGAATTGATAATTACTATTAATTAATTTTAGAGGAATTATTTTATAAAACTGATGTAAAAGAGTTTACAATACAAAAATAAGAAAACTAGGTACTACCAGCCATGGTGGACAAGATTCTTCTAGAGGCAGGGCCGAGAACTTAGATGGTTGGATATTTGCAAATTGGTAGTGACCAAGTTCTGAATTTAACCTGTAGACACAATTTTGCAAGGCTACTACTTCATCTTGGAGTTCCTTATTTTCTTGTTGAAAGATTACTAACTGGTTAGCCAAATCAGAAGCCAATTCTAAAATTAACAAAAATATAGTTAAAAATATGAAAATGCCAAATATTGAGGAAACTATATTATTTCTATATCATCTGGTTATTAATGAATAATAAAGAGAGATATAATGCTTTCACCTCAGTCTTATTATTGAAAAATATATAAATATTTATACAATGTCAGAATTTAACTTTGGTGCTAAAATACTCTGACTTTTAAGTGATACAGTAAGTAAAGTAAATGCACAAATACTAATAAGATTAAAAATTAATTGAAACTAAATCATGCACATTTAGTGACAAAGTGATTACTTGTTTAATATCTACTTTACTTTCTTAACAAGCAGTCAAATGATTTATTCTTGTTATCCAATTTACAAATGAAAAACTTTCCCTCTTGTAAGAAATTAACATTAGTTTTATTAATTTACCTAGAGTATATAATAAATCCTACATGTTACTTCTAAAACTTGTTTACAGAATAAAAGTCCAAATCTTCTAATGTCTTTGAAACTTTTGAAAGAACTAGGAAGATCAATGAAAAAAAGCAAATATCAGAGTTAGTATTCAAATAGTATCTCAGTGAAATACATAGAAAAATAAAATTTTTGACACCTATTTCAGTATATTGGTTATTATTTTTTGGTCTATATTTATTTTTTTAAATAAAAGAATTTTTAATTTAGCAGGGACTAGATGGATGGCAGCTAGTCATCACCACCCACTACCAACTCTTGGACTACTCTTTTACCAACAAATAGTGGGATTGACTGTTACATTATATCATCCCCACAGCTGAAAGAGCGAGCATGTTTGGTGGGACATGGATTCAAACCCGCGACCCTCAGACTGAGAGTTGAGCACTCTAGCCACCTGGCCATGCCATTCAAAGTTACTTTTAAGATCCCAAAAGTATCATCAAATTCAATTAGATTCATTCCACCATTTACAGAAAATGTACCCAAAATAAAGAATCACATATATTAACCCTTTCACTGCCGTACGTGACTTTAGTTGAATTCCAAGTCGAGTGCTGAATGCAACTTAAGTCAAATTCCTGACATAGTTCCGTTTAGTGGTCTGTAACTTACTCCGTGCCGCACTTGCAAGGTTTCTAAGCAACCACAATGTAATTTAGTGTAGTTTCCTCAATCATGGGTGTTATTTTAGTTAAATTCTTGACTTTCGATTCAATTTTAGTTCACTGACCAGAACCATGTCAACAGGTAAATGTAACCAAAAACAATGGCTTGCCACAGAGGATGTATTTGGCAAAATAATGCAAAATTCAGACTCAGAATTGAGTGAATTTGGCGATGACAATTGGGAAAACAGTGACACAGATACTGATAATGCTGTAAGTAATGATAATACATATTATGTAGTGCATGAGAACAGTGATGATGATGGTAGCCAAAGTGGGTCATTGATTATGATTATGATAATTATATTCCAATTTGGTGCCCAGCTTATGCTAAAAGGCCTGGCCCTGTGATTCCACCTTTGGCTGACGGTAAACAACCTGTAGATTATTTCTACTTGTTATTCCCTCAGGAAGCATTTGAACTTATTTATGAAATGACTAACACCTACACCCTGGAGTTCTTTGATAATCAGACGGATCTTCCTGAAAATTCTCGCTACAAAGATTGGGTTGAGTGTACTACAGATGAAATCAAAGCCTATCTTAGCTTGCAGATAATGATAGGATTGTGTTCCAGGCCAAGGATTAGTGAGTATTGGGCAACTGGGGGTATAGCCCAGTCCCCTAGTTATCAAGATGTACTGCCACACAATTATTACTAGCTGATCAGTTAGTTCCTTCATTTTTGTGAAAATTCTCACAGGGTTCCACATGGAGAGAGAAGATATGATCCTTTGTATAAAATTGCTCCCCTGATGAACATTGTGAAGCCACTGTATAAGCAGTATTACATTCCACATTGTGAACTTACAATTGATGAATCGATGACGAAGTTCAAGGGATGGATATACTTTCGTCAGTACATACCGAACAAACAAAGGTGGGGTATAAAACTGTGATCATTGTGTGAGAGCAAGTCGGGTTATCTGTTAGACTGGGATGTTTATACTGGTAGAGAAAACAACCCTGTGGCACCAGAGCAAGGCTTGGGTCATAATGTTGTTATGAAACTGGTGGGCAATAATGGATACTTGAACCTCGGCCACCATTTATATGTTGATAACTTCTACTCCAGCCCTGGCCTCTTGGAAGCCCTCAAGGAACAGGGTACTGGTGCCTGTGGAACTGTGAGATTGAACAGAAGGGGACTTCCAGAAGAAGTTAGATCAGCAAGGTTACAGCTGAAGAAAGGTGATGATCCTGTTTATTACAGAAAGGGTGATATGCTCGTCTGCTCCTGGCATGACACTGCAAGGGTCAACTTCCTCTCGACAATTGATAATAATGGCTACACTCGGAAACAAATTTGATCCAAGCAGTCAGAGACTGGATTTTGGGATGTGAAAAAGCCAAATGTGGCCCGTAATTACAATGCTTCAATGGGATGAGTTGACTTGTTTGACCAGAAATGTGCCAGCTACCCATAACGACAAAAATGCAAAAAAGTGGTACCACACAAGTTATCACTTCATCAGAGAGGTAGACTAATCAACTCCTACATAGTGTACAGAACTGCCAACCCTAATTCAAAAATGGAGCCACATTCATTCAGGGAAAAGATGGTAACCAAACTCTGTACTTTTATTCCTCCAAATAAATTTGGAAGGAAAGGGAGGAGGTCGACAGAATACCCAGAGGATAGGGAGGAGCAACTGACAGGGCATCACTTTCTAATGGCTTATCCAAATCCTAACTGTGTAGTTTGCAGAGAAAGCCCTTCACATCTAAAGAGGAAGCAAACCACACATGGATGCATGAATTGTAAGGATGAAAGGGGGCGATGCCTACCCATGTGTCTTCCGGACTGCTTCACAAAGTACCACACGGTCAAGCATTTCAGATGTTAGAAGAAAAAAAAGGTAGTAAAACTACATTTTTCCTCTAAAATGTTGTGTTTATTGTTTTAATGTTCTTTTCCAACATTTGCAGTGATTTAGGGATTTTATAATAACGCATTTTAAAATAGGCATTTTTCACTGGAAATTCCAGCACTATAGACAGCTTTCCATGGGAAAATCGGCAGTGAAAGGGTTGGAACACTTTAAGTAATTCAAATGCATCATTTATACCATATTCAAAGTTCAATATAATTTTGTCTCATTATGCTCATATTGATTTTCCGACCTTTGGCCCTTATATTTTAACCCATCCTCAACTCTTACTGCCTACATATTTTGACATGTCATGAAGCATTATATGAAGTTTTATTCTGTTGAACACTAATTTACACACACACAAAACTGTAGGTTTGGCATTATGGTAAATGAGGAGAAAATGTGGCGAATTGTTTACTTATTTTTAGTAGATTCTTTTTTAAAAAAAATGTTTTAAAAATTACAGAATAATCAAAAACAATAATAATCTACATAAAGTTTTCTTAGAGTAGTTTTCTCATACGTAGATTTACAAATTACTGCCTAAAATTCAGCCACTTTAACGGGATGACTTTAAACAAAACAACTTTTTATAATCATAATATTTCCATATGAAAAAAATCTTTTTGTGCACAACACCACCCTCTCGGAATACAATGTAAATATCTGCTATTATGTTTCTGTTTAACCTACTGGCCTGAAATTTTGGGTGATAACATTCACCTTTTCTAGTATTTCACTGAGATATTACTTAAATGCTAACTCTGATGCTGACTTTTGGTTCTGATAATGACATTCATCCTTTTTTTGATCAGTTTACTGATTTTTCTTGTACAAACCTGAAGAATTTTTCCAGCTGCTTTGAGTTTATATTAATTAACAAAATTTTGCTAAAATATTTGTAAAGGTATCATCCTACATATAATGCTTTGTTCTAAATTGACCCAGAGAGAAAATCAATATGAATTAATGAATCCATACAAATTAGAAATGTTTTGTATTATTATTATTGGCTATTTTCTAAATATTTCAGTAAGCCAATAATTCTCAGTATGGTCATTATCTCTTTTGACAAAATAAAAAAAAATTTCTTGAATAATATGTTTGCAAAAGAAAAATGGTCAAACACTTTAGTTACAAATGTATTTTCATACTTTACATTTAACTGTGATCAAAGCCAAAATATACAAGTTACGCCTAGGTCTAATCTACACATTGAGGCTATCTAACCAGAAAACACAGACTGTGTAACACAAATATATCATGCAGCAAAATACTTAGCTTTCTGGAATGCCACATACCTGATCACTATTGAGTTAATATTTTTTATGTGTGAAACAATGAAGTATAAAAATATCTATCAATTTATGTCTTTCTTTTTGAAAGGTGGAACTTGCTTCTAAAACATAAGTTTTTTTTTGTGCTGTAGGTATGTTTAAAGAGGCTGCATGATATTAATATACACATAGACTACTTTGACAAGTACACCAGCTATAATGACATATTTCATCAAAGAGGAAATAAATCAGAAGCAAAAAAAAAAAATCAAACCAAAAGTTAGAATTTTCCTACAATGAAAATGTATGTTTGATAGATACCTCCTCCCACAGAATAGCAATGCCCTCTATCAGCAAAAATTTTCCATTCATTCCACTACCCTTCCACCTCCTACTTATCAATATCCACATGCAAATGATCATGCAGCAGCTCTCCACCAATAGGAGTGCAACACCACTCCTATTGTAACCCATGCTCCTTTCACATCTGTCCTCATTAATCACTTCGAGATTGGTCAGATCTACACCATATATATCCTGAAGTGGGAGGATGAGTGGGAAATGTGAGAAGAGGTAAGTACACATTGGAAATACATTTTGAGTGTGGGAAAATGCTAACTTCTGATACAATATCTTACCTCCTACAACTGGTGGAGGGTCGGTAAAAAAATGATACCCCTATAGGAAGTGCCCAAAGACAAACCAGGAGGTGTGGAACCACAAGAGAAAACATCACACCTTAGCGGGAGAATATACCACATCTTATCCAGGTATACTCTTCACTCTTTTTTGACAGTGTTGCAAAAGGCAGAAAAACATGAAGGAATCCCAGAACACGTAGGATAGATTAATGGGACTCCTGGGTGTTGAGTGGCTACGGCACAATAAACTGTAATGGTAGTTTGACCTCATTCAACAGCAGCTGGTATTTGGAATGATACATCAGATCTGCAATGATCATCTACCTCTACACCTCAAAACATGAATTTGTATGGAAAATGAACTTCCATTCTAAAATCTGTCTCCACTTAAGTGCATTTCTAATACAACCAATATCATATCCACTGGGAATCCACATCTAGCAGACAGTAGGAATGTGGAAAGCCTCCAGAGGGATGACATCTCTGGTCCAAAACCTGATGGCAATGGGTATGGTAATTTCAGTCCATCGTAGGAAGATATTAGACTCTACATAAGCAGGAAAATGTGCTGCTTCCAGCTACAACCAACACGATCCATTGAGAACCAACATCCAGCAAATGGTAGGAAGAGGGACCACAAACCTGGGGTGCATCTACAGTCCAAAACCTGGTGGCAGTGAGCATTTGTTATCCAGTCCATGGTAGAAGGAGGGATAATGGCCAGCACACATGTGAGAACTTAGTTAGCTGGACCATTTCCAACCAACACTAGTAGGGAGGAGGAATGTGTCAGCCTGAGGGGCAAACTGCAAAAATATATATATATATATATTCGTGACATGTCAGAGTGCTTCAACTAAATCCTGGCAGCAGCTGAAATTGTACATCAGAACCACAGTAGGAAGGGCATTACATCATTGACACATGATTCTAATCATGACCAGGTAATTTCCAACCAACACCAGACCCACCAGGAATGTACATCTGGAGGATAACATGAGGGAGTAATGCCACAGTAGGAAAAACAATCAGTGAGATATATAGACAGGAATATGGCGTAGTGCTGCAACTAAAACCTGGTTGCATCTCAAATTGTACATCAGATCCATGGTAGGAAGTGTGATATGCCAGCAACACCTGCAGAATGCCACTGCCCTACTCTCAACTGAGTGGTATAATGCATCACTCAGGAGGACAAGTCTCCATGATCCGCCACTCTAGTGGCTAAGAACTGGTAAGTGGTAAGGACTCCCACACTCTACTAGAAGAAAGTGAGGAAAACACATTGGAAAGTCTGGAGGACAGCATCACCATAGACAGTGCAATGGGTGACATTGATACCTTATTTTGAAAAGCAGAGCTAACACATCAATGGGGTTGATCAACCAAAACCTGGTGGCATCTGGAATTGTACATCAGGTCTGTGGTAGGAAGAGTCTCAATGGCACAGAGCATCAGAGATGGACAGCCACCTCTATCTGCTTTACTCATGTTATTCCATGAGTATACAGTCTGGGAAGAACATATTTATGAAGCAAAAAACCACTACAGAGAACTACAAGAGAACAGTCCATCTTTTTGATGTGCATAACACAAACCTGCAATGTAATACTTTAGTCATAGATAATAGATAACAATAAAACAGACACACACATCCAACACCTGGTGGCATCTAGAATTGTACATCAGGAAGGGCTACAATATAATTGACATTGAGCGTGGTCGCCGGATGGACAGTGTAGATTTCCAAATAAAAATAAAGTTAACCTGGTCAGACCCCACTTGCCACAGAGTGAGATCCACAATATACTAGCAAAAAGGCCTCTGAAAAAAAGAAGTTGAAAAACCTTTCACAAACCAAAATGAGAAAATTTAAATAAATAGTAAGTGATTAACAAGTGCAGACGTGAAGATGGTGCTGGTTATGAGAGGAGTGGTGTTGAACTCCTATTGTTGGAGAGCAGCTGCATGATCATTTGCACGTAGATATGCAGAAGCGAGAGGTGGAAGACTAGTGGCTTGCATTGAAAATCGGCAGTCTAAACGAGAAAAGCTATTTTGTGAGTTGAGGTAAAATGTCATATCAGATTAAACCTATAATATAAGACTAGTGGTAGAGAGTTGTATTAGAAACAAGAAGCCCACCTGATGAAGATGCAGAAGAAATAATACCTCTGGAAGTACAAGAAGGTAAAGAAACTTGAGGAAGAAGAAGATTAGCAGGAAGCACAGAGCAAGAAGGAATAAATGCACTTTCCTGGTGAAAAGCAGAGAAAAGAAAATTTAAAACAGAGTATCTATGCTATATAATGAAATAGATAATGACAATTACTCAGAGTCTATTCTACTTCCCAGTCACCAAAGGTTATTATTTTCTTGTTAGTGTACCCTATAAGTAATTGAATTCACATCTAAACTTTTTCCACAAACACATTTGCTGTAGTGCGACATAATGTTTTCAAATGTTCTAACTTTAAAAGTTTTTAAAGCTAACAAAAACATTAAAACTGTTGTTAAATTCAAAAATTATTTTTCTTTTTGAAGGGTAACACAATATAAAAAACTCAAATCAATTAAACCTAATTTACGGTTACAAACCACCTTACATATTTTATTATTTGATTGCAGCTCATTTGAATTTAATGCCCAGGTAGATGAACAATTTCTTATAAGAAACATAACTACTAACCTGTTCATCATGTACTTTACTTTACACAAGCAATATGGGTATAAATGAGAACAGGCAACATTATTCTGCAGTTTATATGTATGTTGTTCTGTACTTGCCCAGATACCTTATATTATTGAAAGTATTTAAAGAATAAGCAACCATGATGCACAAATTAATATTCAACATTACAATTATAAGACACTTGATTCTGTATTTTGTTTCACCCTTGTTCAGGGTCATTGATGAACTCACCTTGCTTCTTTGTGGTGTATGCCAAATCCAAGAATAAAGTGGAATTTAGATTCTTGTTTTCACCAAAATAAACACTTTTGTTAGTAACAAATCAAAGATACTTCTCTGTACGTACAATGATTAATTACTTGCTAGGAAAAAAATTAATATATATATATATATATAATTAAAAAACACCTAAACAAATAAAGGATTGAGCATGTGACTTAAAGGAATGAAATCAAAATTGGTAGCCAAACAGGTAGCTACACTTATAGCATTGATAAGAAATTTACAGCAAATATTCATTCATTAATTAGCAATGCTGCACTTTTTATTCAATGGCATGATAGTGGGTAAAACAAGATAAGCACTTGTGTGTATGTGTAATTTGTATATGATAAATCTACCATATTTTTCGGAATATAAGACGCACCCTTATTTTGAAAACATAGTTTTGGGGAAAAAAAGCTACAGTCGCAATAGAAAGATTTTTATTGAACAAAAATTCAATTTGATACTTTAAAAATTAGTATATATTGTTCTAAACACAAAAGATCTCAAAACATCAAAATAAGAAAATACCGTAAATAAAAAAAAAGGTTTACTGTCATATAGTTTGGTTCAAAACCTACAAAATCTTCATTGCTTTCACTGTTACTTGGATAGGAATCATTGGATCCAATATTATGGTCAAAGAGAATGTCATCCTTGGTCCCATCAATTGCGTTACTGATACCACATTTCTTAAATGACTTAATCACTATATCAATTCTTACTTTTTCCCATGAATTCTTCACCCACATGCAGACCTAAGCCTTTGCGTTTCATGAACCGATAACACCACGATGTATGACCAGTAAAATCTTCTAAACTATTATCACATGCAATCCTCTTTGCTTTAAAAATTATCATATTTGTAGAAACGGATAGTCCTTGCCTTCTCTGATCTTTTCGAGATCTTGCCATTTTGTGTTTTTTCCTTGGAAATTGCATTTATCACTTTTAACCATTTTCAATTCTTCTTCTTGTTCACGCCAGCAACGAATCATTTTTTCTGTTGGTAGAGAACCAAAATATCTTTTGGCAGCTCTGTTTCCATGCTCTTTTGCATAATTAATGACACTTAATTTAAATTTATCTGTGTATGACAGTCTCTTTTGTTTAAACATTGTAAGGGGTGAAAAAATAGAACAAAAATGAAGAAACAACTATTTTGCTCCCGAGGCCTAAGATACGGTACTTCGGCTTTTGGTGATGCATCCAACTTGACAGTAAGCACGTGCCAGACTGCCGAGTATCAAATGAAAATTGAAATACCGATTAAGCACTCTGATTGGTCAAGCACATTGCACATTTGAATCCAAGGCAAGCACTCAAAAATGATTTTTTATTTGTTAAAGTTAGGCCTGAAACGGCCTTATTCTGCTCCTCATTAAACAGGGATTGTCGTGTATTTACAAGCTTTTTCACTCTCATCCATTACTATAATTTATTTTTTTATTATTTAGGGAGGATTATAAACAGTTATGTTTTTAAAAGAAATGAAACTACTATTGTTATAAATAACACATTCAACTGAACTAAACTATGATTGCCTATTTAAATATATTTACACATGGCTTGTGTATATTGTATATATACATATATATTATTCATACCTTCGGTGTATAGGACACAAGCAGATTTTGACATCAAATTTTGGAGTAAAAAAGTGCGTCTTATACACCGAAAAATACAGTAATCAAAAACATCTTAGGTGTGAAAAAAAAAGGTGCTGCCAAAAAACAATTCAGTGTGTGACTTGAAGAAAGTAAGTCAAAATTGGCCACAAAACTAGTAGCCACACTTATAGCATTGATAAGAATTTTACAGCAAATATTCAATTATTAGTTATCCAATCCACATTTTTGTTCAACTTAGTGCATGACAGTAAGTAAAACAAAATACACGGCCTAGCTAACTAATGAATGAATATTTGCTGTAAAATTCTTGAATGCTAAGTATAGTTACCAATTTGGCCACTAATTTTGATTTCATTCCTTTAAGTCACACCCTCAATCCTTTTTTGGCCATACCATTTTTTCACACCTAAGATGTTTTTGGATTAGATATCATGACATTTTGTCAATACACACAAACAAACCCCACCAAATAAAAAAATGGTACACTATAGTAACCAACATTAGCTTTAGGATCACAACCCTATTATTCAGAACAGATCTATACTTTCCAGAACCAATCAGATTCTTTAAAATATATGGTGGTAGCTTTTCCTCTCTAAATCACTGTTAATAACTTCCTTTATAGTAATGCAATGGAATCTAGATTAACAGTTTCTTGTCATTACCTAGATGCACTTGGTACAACCGTATCAAGCATCATTATTTACGTTAATTGCTTAAGCTAATATCACATGATGCTAAATGCTTTTTAATTAGGAGAATTTCATAAAACTTAACAAATTTGTGCTTAAAAATTGGCAATAAATAATGAATAATAACTGTCCACCCATATGATTCTTTTGAAACCTTGAGCTAGAAACTGCTAATCTAATGTGCTGGGACTAACCAATAACTATGTATCTGCACGTGCTTTCACCCTATAGTTTTGATACCTGCTCAATTTACATAGTTTAGGATGGCTGGTGCCAGTAGATATAAAACCTTATGCATTGACAGTTTGCTCAACTGAAAATGATGGATTAGAGTTCAAAAATACAGTCATGGGGCTTTGCATCCCTTTCCAAGGCAAAATTTCAAAGATATTTTGTGAGAATCACTCTCCTGGTCAAGCCGAGTAGCAACAGCTCATGAAGAATACCATAAATTTTCTTGGTGGTACACTTAAAGGGTGTGTAACTTCTCAACAGGCAGTGAGAGTTGTATTTGTTTTAATTGTATATTTATATACATATATTAACAGCATGAGTAAGTCATCCTAACTTACAGGAATTTTACTTTGAGCATTAGTTTAACCAGTGATTTTTTATTTCAAGAAGCCTGAAGAAAAATCAAAAACAAATAAGTAGGACAACTTGCAGGTGGCAGCACTTTACTAAACAATAACTATCAATAGTAGCTTCAGAAAATAACCCAAGATGGTTATAAAATACTTTCAGTGGGAGCCTGGAGTAATCTGTTGAAAGCTATTAGTGCACACGACAATGTGTAATGGAGTTAACAGTATATAATATATGTATCTAAATAAATATATGTGTGGTTGTATATGTATGTAGGGTTTCACATGAATGAATTAATTATGTAACAAAGAATTATTAAGCTACAAGTGAATGGAAACATAGGCTCTGATATGAATGTTAAGACTTTGCTATATGAAGTTAACTGTAATCAATGACCTGTAAAAGGTATTATCAGAAAATGCAGTGTGTTTGTTATTTTCCTTAAAACTCATTTAAAGTTCTAAATTTCTTAAAAGCATCATCATTATATCTTTTATAAATGATTTGAACTAATGGGACATTTTTTGGGAAATTGTAATCTCAGAATGAAAATAATGATTTATGAGAAAATTTATATGATAACACTGGCCAAATACTTAAATTAATATACATATTTACAAACAGTACACTATCAAGAAGACCATATTTTATTTAAAACTGTAGAAAACAGATTACATTTTAATTTTTTAAATGAATGAAAACAATATAATACAGTTCCTAATTTCTTTAAACTTTGAATAAGTTATCATCTTCACAAAACAATTCTTATGATTATTAATTTAAATATTAGTTTAAAATACTAAAAATGGGGAAATGTGGGGTAAACTTTGAAAGAAGTTGTCTCAAGACTGGATTTTATACATTTGCATCATGTTATTAAATATGAATCTTATTGAATTGATCTTAAAACAAAAAGTTTAGTGTGGCTATTTTTTTTTTAACATCCTATACATGTTATTTAAAATCTTTTGGATTATCAACTGATAAGAGCTGAAAAAAGTTACTGTCATGAGGTTTATGATTTACAGTTACTCCTTGGAAGTAAGAATATGTAGAGTATTTAAAGAATTTTTAATGGAAGTTAAACTCTTACCCATTCAAGGCAAAAATAATGTTACTTTTGATAATTTAGTTAATGAAATCTCAGGTTTAGTGCTTTCAAGCTTTCTTAGTTTTGATCCTAAGAAATTGCAGAGAAATTTATCTAAAGAATGTTTTGGATATAAAACATCTCAGTTCACTAGATAATTCATTAATCTTTAAATCTGATAAAATTAATGGCATAGTAATTCTGAATAAGAAAGATTATATAGAAAAAGATTTAGCTATTCTGAATGAAAATACTAAATTTAGGAAACTGAAATCTGATCCTACAGCTTTTAAAGTTAACATT